AGCCCACAGGCAGAAGAGTGCTCTCCATCCACCAATACAGAGAAGCACGTTGCCTCCAGCATTAGCTATCCAGAGCAGAAGCAGCTCATGGTCCTAACTTAGATGGATCTCTCTACTTCTTTTTTAAAGCCACCCAGGGTGGCAGTCATTGCTACATCTTATAATAAGAAATTCCACAGATTAACTCTTTGCCATGTAAAACAGTGCTTCCTTCTTAACAACCTAATTATTCCACAATTCAGCTTGATCAGAGGAACCTGGGTACTAGAGGACGAAAAACTTATTTATATCTACTTTCCCCGCACCATACTGTATTTATACCCTTCTATCATGCACAATTTATACAGTATCTGCCTTTGCTCTCTCCCTATGCTAGTCCCAATTATTGTATATATTGTAAAAACAACAACAACAACAACCCTTTAATGCCTTGATTTCTTTTGGTAGCCTTTTTCTGCCTGGTCTCCAACTCTACAAATCCTTTTATCAGGTACAATGACAAGAACTTTACATATGCAGTAGCTTCCCTACAGATCTGTATAAGGATAGCTTGCCAGGCTGGGCTGGAAAACATGTAGGCATAAGCATAAAAATGATTTTTCGATGTCAATAAACAGTGTTTTTGTGCTCCATATGACTTTTTACACTCTCCAGTATCAGGAAGTAAGATATGAGAAAGGGGGTGGAAAGACAACATTGCTTGACAGAGTGCCGTCTCCTCTTCCACGGAAAATACCACCAACCCAGTGCAAAGCAAAGCATGGTGCTTATACAGTGGTGCCTCGCTAGACAATGATAAACCATTCCACTGAAATTGCTGTTTAGCGAAATCATTGTCTAGTGAAAAGCATTTCCCCATTGGAATGCATTGAAACCTGTTTAATGTGTTCCAATGGGGAAGAATCATCGTTGTCTAGCAAAGATCGGCCATAGGAAAACTGCTTGGCGAACCGCCGATCAGCTGTTTAAATTGCTGTCTTGCGAAGCATAGGTCCAGAAAACACCCGTTTACGAGCGCGGAGGAAGATGTTAAAATTGTCGTCTACCGAAAATCTGTTTGCGAAGCAGGGACCAAACATTGTCCAGCGAAATTCCTCCATAGGAATCACTGTTTTGCGAATTGCTATAGCGATCACAAAAAGCCAATGTCTAGTGAAAAAACTGTCATGCGGGGTAACTGTTTAGCAAGGCAGCACTGTATACCGCCCCATAGCGCTTCAAGCACTCTCTGGGCGGTTTACAAGTTAATTATGCAGGCTACACATTGCCACCCCAGTGAGCTGGGTACTCATTTTACCGACCTCGGAAGGATAGAAGGCTGAGTCAACCTTGAGCTGGCTACCTGGGATTGAACCCCAGGTCGTGAGCACAGTTTGGGATGCAGTACAGCAGTTTAACCACTGTGCCAAGAAGCTCTGGTAAGAAAAGGTGATGCCGCACTGTTGAAGAAGGTGGTCTACAGGAGTTCCCAACTTTGAGTCCCCAGATGTTCTTAAACTAAAACTCCGAGAAGCCTTCACCACTAACTTTGCTAGCTAGGATGTCTGGAAGTGGTAGTCCAGGAACATCTCAGGAACTAAGGTTGGGAGCCACTAGTCTACAGAGAGGAAAAAAGGTGGGAAAAGTTGGACAGGAGAGGGAGGGAAGGTGATGCCGCACTGCTGAAGAAGGTGGTATACAGGAGTTCCCAACCTTCAGTCCCCAGATGTTCTTAAACTAAAACTCCGAGAAGCCTTCACCACTAACTTTGCTAGCTAGGATGTCTGGAAGTTGTAGTCCAGGAACATCTGAGGTACCAAGGTTGGGAGACACTAGTCTGCAGAGAGGAAAAAAGGTGGGAAAAGCTGCACAGGAGAGGGAGGAGAAGTCAAAGGGGAGGCCATTATAAATAAGGGGGAGGGGAAGCAACAAGAGAGGCGGAGGAGAGAAAAGGCTAGAGAGATAGAGACCAGGATTATAAAGGAAAAGAGGAGGAACATGTTTTGCCCAAGAGATGGGATCTGGATGGAAAACCCATGGACTCATGAGTGGGAACGGCTGATGTTGCTGAGAGGAAGCCAAGCAGAGAAGAAAATATTGCCCACCCAGAAAACCCTCTTACTAGAAGGGAACAGAAAAAGAGAGTGGAATAAAAAAAATATAAGAGGGCACAGAGAAATTGAGGAAGGAAAGGACAGTATAGAAAACCCCTTCCCCAGGTGGGACCAACTGCCTGTAGAAAGGTGGGCAACTGCACCCCAGAAATGAACGATCCAGGCAAGAGGCTGCTGGGTTGATGACACATAGCCCTTATGGCATCTGCTGTGGTCAGGGGACCCTGCAAAAGAGTTGAACTCAGAGTGGGATAAAGCTCAGAACTTGGAAAGGACTAAGAAGCTGAACGTTTTACAAACTAAGTCCCTAAACTCCTTCGTCTCCCATTGGAGAGGACGGAGAAAGCCAGGTTGTTTGAAGATCCTAATACTGAGGCAAACGGTTTTGTAGTAAATGTTGATGGTTTAAAAAGCAAGAAATTGAGTTTGGTGCATTTGCCAGAGGGGTCCAAAAGTGTGGGGAGGGGAAGACAAGGTTGAACCCTCACAGCAAGGAACTAATAAGAATATAATCCTGTACAGTACACATTTTTCCTGCAGGCAAGCACCACTACGATGCAATATACTTTTATGCAAATCATTATAAAGTGGTACTGTATGTGAAGAACAGTTACAGTAAGTGCAAACTGCTATGTACAGACAACTAACAGCCAATTTCTCTCATACTACTTAATGTAATCACATCATATGACTGACACTTGTAAAGGAAGAGGAATGTACAGTAACTCACTTAAAGAGCAGATCCCATGCATGGAAAATGCTCACTGCAGGTTCAACCCAACTAAGATGATGTCTGTACAAAACTCTGTTCCTCCCAGCATTTCGGACTTCAATTCCCAGAATCCTCAAGCAGCATGGCCAATGAAAGTAAATTATAGGACATGCAGACCACAGCACCTGGAAGATCAGAGATTCTTGGTCCCTGTAGCAGACGGTGCAGTGTATGCCTCGTTCTAAAGCATTTAAATGACACCATTTAAGAGAATAGAAGTGGGCTAAAAAAAGGTTATTCTCTTAACCATGTTATGCTGACAGCAACATTAACTGTAATTAACCCAAACTACTTTAGGTTCCACAACCAAGATTAAAATGAGGCTTTTCACACCCATCTCCAGTATCCTCTTCTTCAAAGGGCTTCATTTGCAATTCAGATGCTCAAGAGAAACTATTGTAAATTTGAATAGCACTGATAATAATTTATTCTATTTTCTGAACTTTTGTACAAGTCTCTGTATCTAGATAGATACCTTTTCACTCAGTAGCATACTGTGCAGAAGAAATTATGTTTGAATAACTGTCAATCCCATCACAGTTGGCAAGAATTTGTCTGTAACAAATCAGATGTTCTCACATTCCCATATTGGTCATCAGCCAACACAAATGACACTGATTTCATTAACTCTTCCTCAAGAAGAATGCAGATCTCTCTCAAACCTATTTCTTCTGCTCTATGACTATGCCTACAATTACACCAATTATCATTATTCTTTCATATTTTCAGGCCTGATCCAAATGGGCATTTCAATTAGATTGTACGTGTGTTTTGTGCCATCAAGTCAGAACCAACATATAGCAATCCTAATACAAATTTCAAGATAAGTGACATATTTAAGGACTGGTTTTATGATTTCCACTCCCCCAGTGAGTTTCCATGGGCAAGAGGAGATTCCAATCCTGTTCTCCAGAGTTCTAGTCCGTCACTCGATGCACTACTACACCACACTGAGAATCAATTAGATTAGCTGCCAGCAAAACAAAATTCTAGTGGCACTGATTGCACTAGTAGCTGTCATGTTGCAGTCCCACACTACTGGACTAAAATTTTAGCTGATATTAAACCCAATTACTAAAGCAGACTTGGGCAATTATTGTTTTCCAGATTTTGCTGAAATACATCTCCCACCATCCCTCACAGGTTAAGGCTGACAGGAGTGCAGTCCAACACTATTCAGAAACCCACAATTGCTGAGCCCTGCCCGATTCAGAGGGACATGAGACATTTTGCTCTACACATAGATTTCTTGTGTTCAGAAGCATACCTTCCAGAAAATGTCATGCTCAAAACCAACGTTAAGCAGACAAAACCCCAAATACATCATGTTAATCCATACAGGAGCACTACCACCTTCCACAAATGCTCAAATGCACCACAAAACTAAGACACAGGGGACACCGTTACCAATTCTCCAGTTACCCTGATGGTTGAAGTACAGACTCTGTATTCGCTAATACAGACAAGTTACCGTTTTTTTTCTTGGCATACTCACAACCAAGGTGGTTATAAGAATGGATTCACACCTTTTTTTTTAAAGCAAGTTTATCAGGGAGGTAGACTTAAAGCTGTTATCGGTGCAAAAATCAGAATATGGTATTTAATCTAGACTTAATGCAAGATTCAAAACCTCTCCACACCTATTTAGGAGTAAGGCTCCCTTCAGGAGAGAGTGGTTTACTTCAGGGGAAGCCCACATAGGACTTCAGAGTATAACCCATATAAAATATTGTGCACACTATACAAAGCAAGCGTGTGTATTGGGGGGGAAGAGTAAGTACTTTCCCGTCACCCCATCTTGAGTACACTTGTTCCCAGCCATCTTCTCCACTCCTACCCAGATGCCCAAGACCCACCTGATCTTCAAGCTGTCATAACCATCACTGCCTACCCTCTCCTGCCCAACCCGCGTCATTGCTTCCTTCATCCCCACGTCCCTTTTACACACGCGTTATCTTTCTTGCTTTCTAGAGGCCCACTCCCACTGACATCCTGCTTCTGGGCCAGAAATCTCTATTCAAAGACATATTAATTAGCCTTGCAAACAAATAAAAATAAAATAAAATTAAAAAGCATTCTTGGGCGGTGTGGAGAAAATGGGAGGAAGAAGGAGAAGAAGGGGGGCGGCGACTCACCGGGCTCCGGCTCCCCTGGGGAAGGGAAAAGCCGTGACACCCTCCTCTCCGTGCGTGCCCGACTCGCGCCCCGCCGGATCGCCTCAGGGGGGGACCAGTGGGTGCGCGCCGGCGTGCGTAATCCCAACCCGCTCGGTCACAGCTCTGCGCGCACGCGCACGCTCTCCCCCTCCCCGCCTCCTTTCCTTAATGGTTCAGGCGGCGTCCCTCAGGCGTTCTCCATCTTTCCACGTCGTCACCAGCTAGCCTCCGCAGCAGCAAAAGGGGCGGGGCCGGAGATGGAGGGCGTCACGTGCCCACGCCCCCTTCTCCGCCCAGGGTTTTCCGTCCCCGCCTGTCTTTCCAACGGCGAGGGCGCGAAAGGGGGTTTTCGTTATACCCGGAGAGGATGCCGGGAAATGTAGTTTTCTGAGGCCTACTCACCCCCTTTGAATATAATACAGTAGTACGTACTAGTTTTCTGAGGCCTACTCACCCCCTTTGATGTAGTACGTACTGTACCTCGGTTTACGAACGCCTCGGTTAACATAATGTTCGATTTTTTTCACTTTACATAATGTCCCCGTAGAACGCATTAATTTCGTAAACCGAGGTACTACTGTATTTCTGTTGATAGTTTTGGGAGTGTGGACTTTATTTCATACATTTAGAATTACTGTTTTTGTCACCGTTCAGGAAAAATCAGGATAAGGCCGCACGGTCGTGGAAACAAATACAAATGCAGTAGATGATACCTTCCATTGACCGTTAAGAATATAAAATATAAAATATATATTCTTAATGGTTGGTTAAAGGTATCACGTTCCTGTAATTGTACATTGTTTTTGTCATGTCTCACCTGAAGAAGGGATCTATGATCATGAGAGCTTGCACCCTTTTTGCTTGGCCTAATCATAAAGGCCAGACTCCAGCGTTAAAGTCCCAGAACTTTCTGATCGGGAAGACAATGACTGCCCGTCAGGTTTCCTTGTTTCTTCTGAGGCGAACTGCAGCAGTCACAATAACTAGGAGAGAAATGGATTCATCCAGGAGGAACCATGCATCATCCTAAGCAGTCCCTGTTGTCATGGTGATAGTGCCTTGGTCTTGAGTCTAAGGAAAATATACAGGACACTCTTCCGTTCACAAGGGGATACTGGTTGTACGTAGTATGAAACCATCATAGGCCTTGCTGTTGTCCCACACAACTCACATACAGGCCTTGAAATTCAGGAGAGAAAATCAGCAAGAGTTAAACTGCCTTGAAGATCTTTCTCTTGGCTGCCACTAGTCTTGCCCATGAATGATGCCTTGAAACCAGTTTCAACTCTTGTGAGTCGGAGAGCTTATTTTGTAAAACTGCATCAACATAGGAATATGATTAGTTTGTAAACCAAAGTCTTCCAAGGAAAGTTATACGTACAGCTCTCAGAGCTGGCTCCCTTGCAACCACTCCATCTACACAGAGAGAGGCCACGGTCGCTGGGATACCTCAGCACACCTCCTGCTGCAATGCGCTTTCACAACCCTGGAGGAAGGTTTGCCCCTTCCATGCTTGGGTGGGATTGATCAGAATGAGAGCAGTCATCCCATGCCATAAATTGTTCTCCCTGGAAGCTTAAAGATACAGCAACATTTAAACACAATCTTTTTTACATGATATAAAATCAAGTGTATTTTAAAAACAAATTATCAGGTGCACAACCACCTAGGGTTTTTTAAAATTATTATTATTCACGCTAAACCTTTGGTTTCTATGGATGATGGTCTTGCACTTATGACTTAAATTGTATTTTATTAGAGAAGAATTCAAATTAAAAGGGCTGAACTAGAATTTCAACCAAGGTCACCTACATTTCAAAATAGCACTAAGCCATATAATTTTTTGCATGAACCACTGTCATGAGAAGTCACATAACACCCTATCTTCCCACACAGTAATGGAATAATGGTCTTCTCTTTGTTTTTAAAGGACATGTAAAAAGTAGCTGCAAAGGGACTCTTGTTTGGTTAATGACCATTATTGTCTTCTTTATTCACAAGACTTTTAACCACCAAGAAAATGAAAAAACAAGTGCAACTTCCATAAAAAAAACATACTTTATTAAGAACGACAGCTTGCTACTGTACAAACAAAGAGTCTTAAAATTTATCTGAAGTTATTCTAAGTTTTATACCAATTTTCCCAACAAAGGAACCACGGTACATATACAGATGAATGTTGATTTTTCATCTTTTTTTCCATCTCCAGAATTAAGAAGAAACCCTAGATCTGAATTGACAGGTCAAAACTAAAAAAAGGACTTTACCCCACCATCTTATCAAAAGTGCTTCATCAATCCGTGCTCACACAAAATTAACTTTAAAACATGAAGCAACTCAGAGGACAATTTTGTGGAAGTGAATTAAGCATAGCAAGTTAGTTACTAGTGTTAGCATTATCTTCTGAGTATCTACAAAGGTACTTTTGCACTACAACACTTAAGAACTTGAACTCCTTTAGAAGTGTGAAAACAGTTCCACAAAGTGTTTGAAACAAGTTGTAAATTTGACAGTTAAAGTGTTAACAATACCTTTAGCCTAAAATTTCTAATATTATCTAGTGCAAAAAGAGATCAGCAGCATAGCACTGGAAAATGTTCCAACACGAACATCATCAGGCGCAAGACAATATATTAAAATTGGTTTTTAGGTATAGGGATAGGAATCATCTTATGTGTCCCTCAGTGTCTGTACACATATCCCAAATCTCTATTCACCCAGAGGTACAACGCCATTTCCAAGTAAAAACAGGCATATCAGTTTATTGTCTTTAGCAGCCACAATCCCACGGCATGAGCTTATTTAATCATTCTTTTTGTCAGACACCTCTGTAGGCCCATTTCCAGCAAATCCATTTGTCATACTATTGCTTTCACTCTGAAACACAGGGAAAGAGGGAGAAAACAGTTAACTGAGCATTCAGACCAGAGCTTCCAAAATTATGCTACTTTACACAGAGGCAAGTTCCACTATATTCAGCAGGATTTAAACAGAGATAAGTGCACAGAGGATTTAAAGCATTAAAGAGAAACATTTCAGACCACCAGCAGGAACTACCCTCTGCCCTCCTGTCTGAGGTTTAAAAAGCACGACCAAGTAAAACATGGTATGTTTTCAAATCAGTTTCTTAATAAATGGCCTAGTTTCTTTCTATTAGTGCAGAAAGGCAGAATTACACTCCTGGGAATTCACAGCCGTAGCTGAAAAATGGAAAACAGAGCAGCTCCTATATTAGCTCCAAGATCAGGTGAGCACTGTACTACAAGGGCATTTAGCACTCTAGAAATGTCTTCCACTATCAAAGGAACTTTATTAGCTTGCCCTTCATTGAAAGATATACTTTTCCCCACATTTTCTTTACCTAATACTTACTTTAGTAAGATCAGACTCCTTCAACGAGGCCTCGTGCGTCACTTCCTCATGCCTACTTTCACTGCCGGGCTTTCCATCTTCTTTTGACCCTTCCTGTACTGCTTTCTTAGGCCAAAAGCACTTGAGGAATGGACCAATGATGGGGTAGAGATATGGCTCAAGGAATCGTTTGTAGACCCAGAGGAGAACTGGAATGACTATACAGGGAATGCACACCATGGCTGTCTCAGGCTCTGTGGTGGAAATATGCTGGAACACTAGACATAAGAACAGAGTCAGTCAGAGCTAAACACATTTTTTGGATTATGCAAACCATGAAGACCTTAAGGCTCCAAATCAATATAATGTATGGGCAAGTGGGCAGAAACCCTACTTAACTCCGTAGGACAAGCAAATATCACTTATACAGCAAACAGAAGTATTATATTCTCAAGGTACACCTATCAATTCTAAAGGAAATCAACCCTGAGTGCTCACTGGAAGGACAGATCCTGAAGCTAAGGCTCCAGTACTTTGGCCATCTCATGAGAAGAGAAGACTCCCTGGAAAAGACCTTGATGTTGGGAAAGTGTGACGGCAAGAGGAGAAGGGGACGACAGAGGATGAGATGGTTGGACAGTGTCATTGAAGCAACCAACATGAATTTGACTCAACTCTGGGAAGCAGTGGAAGATAGGAGGGCCTGGCGTGCTCTGGTCCATGGGGTCACGAAGAGTTGGACACGACTAAACGACGACGCTGACCTTTAATTTTTGTTAGCAGACAATACAGCACAGTAGCAAACAAGCAGTAATGTGAAAAGCAGAAAAACAAAAATTTGGCTATATATGCCAATCTAGATAAATGTGACAACAAAAATTTAATTCAGAGGAGGCCTTAGATTCAAGTCAGTGCTCTTCTGAAGAACATAGCTGCAAATATTGAACAAAAATGTGTAATACATCTCAGTATTATACATTTTTATTCAATATTCAGTGATGCTTTCTCTCAGCTGTAACTATTGAGGAAACACCCAACTTCACTTTAAAATTCAACTGCAAACGCAAATATGCAAGATTTGTAAATTAATTCATAGCTATGAATCAATTTGTTCTAATGAAATTTGTAGGAATTTTTTGTCCTGGCTACCTGCCCAAATTTAAAAAAAAAATTAAGTGAAAGCCATTTTCAACCCAACTTGACTACTGGATTCATTGCACCTGAAATACTTCCTGATAATATCTCAGATCCAATGCTTCTTATATGTTAATACTCCAAGGATAGAGCAGCAAGCAAGGAGGAGGATCTACTAAGGAAGATGGCGCATTATCTGAAATCTGTTGGGTCCATGCAGTAACACCAATACAATGGTACACTAAGTCAAGGCCAAATCAGGCTGAATGTCCACAGAACTGAAGAACAATGTTAATCACAACCTATTTTATCTTTTCTGAGTTTACCAGGGCTGCTTACATTAGAGTTTGATAGAAACCTCTCCCTCACAGCATCAAAGTAAACTTCTGGAAACAGAAGAAGTGATGGGAACATAGAAAGAGGTTTTGTCAACACTGAGCAGAAACGGCAGTGACAGAAGTCTCTTTTCGAAACAGAGTATTGCTGCCTTTGTCATCAGAGCTAGTGTATCTTTCCATTTTTGAGCCACTGTTCAGAACTTAGCTAACATACAGTACTAGTTTACCACATACAACAAAAAATTACAGTCCTCTCACTTTTAAACATAAAGATAAAAGTTAAACAATAAGCAACATGCTTAGTTCGTTTTCAGAAGCATAAAGGTTTCTACACCTATGACAATAAGCAACATGCTTAGTTCGTTTTCAGAAGCATAGAGGTTTTTACACCTATGATGCAGGGTCAGAAGACCAGCAGTCGTAAGATCGGATCCACGCAATGGAGTGAGCGCCCATTGCTTGTCCCAGCTCCCACCAACCTAGCGGTTTGAAAGCATGCAAATACAAGTAGATAAATAGGGACCACCTCGGTGGGAAGGTAACAGCGTTCCGTGTCTAAGTCGCACTGGCCATGTGACCACGGAAGATTGTCGTCGGACAAAACGCTGGCTCTATGGCTTGGAAACAGGATGAGCACCGCACCCTAGAGTGGAACATGACTGGATAAAAATTGTCAAGGGGAATCTTTACTTTACCTTTATATATTGTCAAGGGGAACCTTTACTTTACCTTTGACAATTTTTGTCCAGTCATATATATATCCTTTCCCCATTCCCCTTGACAATTTTTGTCCAGTCATATATATCCTTTCCCCCAAAAAACTGAGTGGAAAGAGCTAACTAACTTATACCCCATTTTGTTTAATGGAGCATACTTCACACAATCATACTGTTAACACAATAAGCTGTATGTGCATTCAAGAAGTCTAGTGCAGCTAGATTAGTTTTAATTAGTAAACCCTACAGCCAGGGAGAGGGGAAAGGATTAGCCATTTACAGCCCGTTTGCAACGAAGAGCAAAAGCGGTGAGTTTTGCTTTTCAAAAAGTCCCTAAAGGAGGAGTTTATTAAAACACCGGATTCATAGCTTTTCTTTCTCTGGACTTCTTTTAAGTGTTGCAACGTGATCACCAACGTCATTTTCCACAAAAGGCGGCGACGTATTTTGGGTTTGGCGCATCTGAGGCAAAGGTCACTCCCGGTAAAGCTTGGAAAGGCACCACCCACGCAAAGAGGCCACGGCTCGGCTTCCTTGTTGTGGTTTAGCCGTTAAGGCGTGTCCGAGCCTTCGTGACCCCCCCCATGGACCAGAGCACCCCACGCCCTCCTGTCTCCCACTGCCCCCCCTCGGATTACACCAAAACCAGGGGGGGAACGAAACGAGGATATCTAAAAAAACAAGCCCCTCTTAGGAATCTTTTCACTCCCCCCTCCCGCGCCGCCAGCGACCGCTCACCTGAGTCGACCTTCTGTAACGCCTGAAGAACCTCCGAGGGTGGGAGGCGGCCAGGGCTTTATTTCCGGGAGAGAGGGAAACGCCGACGTCACTCGGGGAAGGCGGGCCCAATAGGAAAGCAGAACGGGACGCGACGTCACAAGAAGCGGATGTCGCCCACTTCCGGGTTTATTTAGTTCCGGCCGCGGGCGCCATGACAGGAGAGGCAAAGGAGTCTGTTTAACTTGTGGAACCCGCTTGAGGTGTTTCCCCCCCTCCTTCCGCTTCGAATGCTGTCTTTCGTTGTTGTAAGCCGCCTTGGGCCCCTTTTCGAAGGGAAAGGCGGGGTAAAAGTATTTTAAATCAATACATTCATTAAAATTTGTATTTTAAATACATTTAAATACATTTTAAATACATTTAAATCAATAGGCCATTTATTAAATACATCAATCATTGTTATAGTCGCTGGTCAATGGCTTCTCCATTGCTTTGTATCGAAGCCTGCACTTACATCTCCAGGTGTGAGTGAGAGCAAGCAGAAAGACAGGGATCTCCCCATGAGAAAAAGAACTCGTTTATTTTAGTTGACATCCCAAATACAGTACCTCCTTTCCCTTTAAGGTTTTGGAGTTGCCTTGCTGCTGTTTTTGAGTCTAAGCACCTGGGAGAGAGGTTTTCCTTTGGAGCATTGGCTGCTCCTGCCTCATTCTAAAATGCAGGCCCTCTGGAGTGAAATCAGGCAGAAAGAAAGTTAATTCATTCCCAGTACTTAATGAAAATGTGTGTCTGGTGCCTGTGTGAGGAAGGAGAGAAAGACTGATGAATTCGGAAGAGATTGTCTACATCTGTTGGTATCTTGAAACCATCAAGGCCAAAACCCAGCTCTTCCCATCCTCAAGTACAAGATCCTGTGAAGGTGGGGAAGAGTAGATGAAACAAGTTACTTTACAAAATAGTTACTCCCTGCCAGAATGTTTTCTGCCAATCACAACCAGGGAATGTGATTGGCAGAAAGCATCCAACGATCCAGAGAGGGGATGGTGGGATGTGAAGAGGAGAGTCAACATTTGAATTGTTGCCAAGTTTTGCTTGCTTTCGCTTCATCTTAGAATTTAATGGTTACGTTATTCTGCTACGCTTTGCACATGTACTGGAGCTGTGCTGCAGCCTTCATTATACGAGCATAGGTTAGCGTTGTCATTTTGCGTGGAAATTATTCTATACTTGCTTAGTCATTTTAAAAAGGTACCCATATTAGTCTGTGCTAGCCTATCAGGCCAAAACAAACAAACCGTGCTAGCCTATCAGGCCAAAACAAACAAAAAAAGGCAAAAAGGTTGTGGCGCCTTAAAGAGTATCTGCTATATTTTAATATGAATTTCCATGGAAATGTCCACTTCTTCAGACGTCTTATTCACATCTTGGGAAGCAACAGCTTTAAAAGTTGTATCTTGCACCTAAACCGCTGTAAATATTTTAAATCAGTGATCATTTTCCTTGCACTTTTCTCCATTTATTTTTCTTTTACTTATCAGCTGTCGACAGTCAAATTATTTCATTTCTTTTTACATAATCAAGCTTTTTGTATTTTATGGGTTTTATTAATGTTTGGATTCCCAGTGTGGGGTAGTGGATAGTGATGGGACTAGGGCCCTCGAGAACAGGGTTCAAATGCCCCTCGGCCATGGAAACTTAGTTGAGGGCAGAGTGGAGCTCGTAAAACCAATTTCTTAAATATTTCACCCTGAAAATTCTATAAGGGTCACTGTAAATAGGTTCTGGCTTAATGGCACATATCACAAATTAATGTTTGGTCCTTATTTATCTCATGTGTACAGTTGCTTTTATGGCGACACCCAACAGCATTTCTTAGCTATGTAAGATGTTCAAAGAGTGGTTTATCATTGGTACTCCCTGTCTCTTCCTCCCCCCCCCCCCCCGGGTTTCCATGACCAAATAGGAATTTTAGCTTGTCTTCTGTCCTGAACCCAGCTCAACAACCAATTACATCACACCGGCTCTCATTTCATTTACCTTAGTACCTCTCCATTCAGATTCATAGAACGCTGCATATCATATTTCAGATGCTTTTCCTTTTCACATTAGCCCATTTTTAAACTCACAATTCCACACAATACTCCAATACAAAAGTCTCATCACCAATTTTAGGTTTTTGAGTACACTAATCTGGTCCAGATGATCTTACTTTTATTGCACAGCTGTTTCTATTTTGTCTTAAATCCCACACTACTTGTTTCAGCACATGCCAATTTCATTTTAGATCTACCAACATGACTTTGACCAAACTTTGCAGTGGAAGACAGGAAGGCCTGGTGTGCTTTGGTCCATGGGGTCACGAAAAGTCAGACACAACTTAACGACTAAACAACAACAAAAATTCCTTTTCTTGGGCTGTTTGCTTTGTACTGGTGCCCATTAAAGATACAGAATATCTCATTATTCTGGTAACAAGTTATCCGTCACGAAAAGTCAGACACGACTAAACAACAAAAATTCCATTTCTTGGGCTGTTTGCTTTGTACTGATGCCCATTAAAGATACAGAATATCTCATTATTCTGGTAACAAGTTATCCTAAACCTCCTTCAATATCATTCTCTTTCAATCATGTTTGTTTTTGGATGGACAACTTGGCTCATTATTCTGGTAACAAGTTATCCTAAATCTCCTTCAATATCATTCTCTTTCAGTCATGTCTGTTTTTGGATGGACAACAACTTGGTATCATCTAGGTGTTCTGGACTACAAACACTACTGGACTTCAACTCCCAGAAATCCTGGCCAGCAGTGATGGTGAAAGCTTCTGGGAGTTGTAGTTCAAGAACATCTGGAGGTCCAAGATTGGGGACCACTGATCTAGGTGTTCTGGACTACAAACACTAGTTTATTCCTAACCCATTGGTCATGCTGAATAGAGCTGATGAGCTGTGATCCAAAATAAAACATTACATTGAAGTGTACTGATTTGAGCAAAAGAATGAATGTCACAATCACACCCCAGTTGCTTGAAATTTTAGGTTTAAATGTTTAAGTAATTTTAGACACCCAAGTGGTCAACTGTATCTGTCCAGACCAATTAAGCTGTAACAGTCCCTTCAGCTGGGCTACAACTTCCTCTGAAAAAAGGGAACAATTGAGCTCTTAACCTAGAAACACACTAAAGTGTTTCAGCTGTGTAGTTTCTGCTTTAAAAAAACACTTCAGCATTTTCAGGTTCACAGTAAATGGTGTGAGTTTCCGTGCAGAGGCAGCTTTTACCCCTGCAGATATATGCTCAAAATATACATCATGTAGTCTTATTATACTGAAAATCAATGCTGATTTCTATACAATCAAACCTGCTTCCCCCCTCAGCTTTTCTGAATAGAGCTGGTCCTGTGAAAATAATAAAGCTCTAATTAGAGCAACCTGCATGTCCTCCAGGTGTTTTGGATTACCACAGTCCTAGTTAACTATCCATGCCAGACAGAACTGATTGGAATTAAATCAAGAGATCAGGTTGCTTACTCGAGTTACAGGCAAACAGGAAAGACACCATTATTATTTCACTGTTTCCCCAGGGCAGTAACTTAATCTCTTATGCTTTATAAAGCATCACATCAGTGGCAGCATCGCATGATACTAATACAGGCTTCAACCTTTGGGGTTGAGGATGTTCTTTAAAGGAGCCATCATCCTCAAAGATCTTCAGGGCTGAAGCCTACACTAACTACTGACATTTCTAATATATGCCTTCTATCTATCGTTGTCTTGTTACCCATTATAAGCTTTAAATAGTATTTCCCATGAACAATTTTCAGTTAGAGCAGCCTTCTGCAACCGACCAGTGTCCATGGTTCTAAAGATGAAAATGGTGAAAACTGCAGCCCAACGCAACTTCAGAATACTATGGATCCTTCCAATGCTGTGCTAGGACTGCTTTGTTTTATTTCAGAAAACAATTAACACAAAACAGAGCTAGAATATACACTGGCTTATTCTTAACTTATTATTAGCAGCAGGGAAATCGCCCCAGAGGGAGACCACAGATGTGATACAAGGGTATCTGCAAGCGGATCTGAAGGCCTTAGGAATGGACCTCAACAGATGGGAAAGCTTGACCTCTGAGCATTCTGCCTGGAAGCAGGCAGTGCAGCATGGCCTCTCCCAATTTGAAGAGACCCTTGCCCAGCAGGCTGAGGCAAAGAGGCAGTCCCGAAACCAGCAAAACCAGGGAGCTGGACAGGGGACAAATTGTACAGTGGGGGCTTGACTTGAGAACTTAATCCGTATTGGAAGGCGGTTCTCAAGTCAAAAAGTCTGTAAGTCAAGTCTCCATTGACCTACAGTGGATTGAAAACTGATTAATCCCGTAACAGGCCGTTTTTGTTCCATTTTGGTTTTTTTCTGGTAAGTCAATTCTCAGGCTGCAAGTCAAACCTAAATTCTGCAGCCAGAGAAGTCTGTAACTGAAAAAGTCTGTAAGCCAAGCCATCTGTAAGCCAAGGGTCCACTGTATGTCTTCAGTGTGGGATGGTCACTCTCGAATTGGCCTTCTCAACCATAGTACACGCTGTTCCAAGTCCTCCATACAGAGCACGTGACCATAGTCTCTCGAGACTGAAGGATGCCTACTATTAACTACAATTACCTCCCCCCCACACACACCATTTAATCATTTCAGGAACCTACACTGTGAAGCTGCCTACTATCCAGCTTTATTATGAGCTTCCAAGCATGCTGCAGAAAAAAGTATGCATGCTGCATTATACTGAGACAAACTGATTAAGGTTTATATTTTTTAAATGTACAGCACCTTAATTTGTGCTACAGCAAGAATTATGGGTGTTACAACCAACAGCCATATTCTGAGCAGGCTACCCTTCAGGGTTGCTCTCATTTGCAGAAATGCTCCCTCCCTCCCTCCAGAGACAAAAGAAGGATCCAATTCAATGCTGTTTTTGAAATAATTGTATCTTGTAAGATTTGTTAGAATTCACTGGACACCTTTTGGTTAGATTTGATTCAACATGAATAACAAGCGCAGTAGTTTCTGATTCCTGCCATAAACAAGATGAAAATCCCAGTGACTTGCACCACTGACAATTGTTTGTGCTCCTAATTAGAG